CTTTGAACATGAATATTGTGATAATCGTCGACATTCAATATAAAGGCATTTTCTGAATCTTTTTCAAGAGAGTTCTCGACATATCCCCTATGTGTATCTGACATCTTCTTCTTTCTATGATCTACTGTTCTTGCCGTGATGGACATGCTAAGGTTTGCCATCGTGTTCAGGTCTTCATTACTCGTATTCACTGAATTTAAGTAGTATGCAAGGTCGACCTTAAAACAATTAATTTTAGTATTATTTAATGAAGCGAGAAGATAGCATTTAAGTACTATTAATCTCTTCATACAATCCATTGTTTGTTCATTGCGTTCAAGTAGTCGAGCCGCCGAATAAAGTTGATCAAAAAAATTAGTCAAGTTCAGTTCGATTTCCTAAAGTATTCTTCGCATTTCGTCAAATGCGTAAATAGGAACTTCCTTCTTTATATGCCCTCTTTCATAAAGGATTTTTGCCATCGCTTTGATGGTTCGAGTGAGGTCAACATTCGTACTTGCCTCTTCCTCAACTACATTCAAGACATTTTCATTCATAGCTTTTTCGTCCGTGACTTTTGCTCTCTTAGTACCTCTCTTTAAAGGGTTTTCTACAAGCCGCATGTAACAAATATTACAAAAAATACTACCCTCCATCCAATTTACCTTTATTAAATCGTTCCTTATAGCTTCTCTCCATTTTTCTCCCTTTAACGAACGGAATTTGATCGACTCGATGGCTTGGCATTCTATATAATGCTTACTCTCGGACATGTTTTTAAACAGTTAATAATAATATGAAGGTTGTGGGATTCAAAAGGATTCAATATATATTATAATAATATGGTAAGAAAGCTTCAAATTTGCTTAGAAATATTACCCACGTTTCATTTGATGAAATGGCAGATGGATGATCCCTCAAAAAGTATTATATACTGTATAAAAAAAAATTTAATAAATTGTGTAACCGTTTTCCTTATTTGGGATGGTCTCCCTTGTAATAGTCCTTCACTTCGTTCTGGATCTCTGTCACAATCTGGCGCACTAATCCGTTACACAACCTGTTAAATAAATATTCTGGATATTCCCAGGAATATACAAAAGTATGTCATTCTGACTCAGTCTTACCTCAGTTTTACCTCAGTCTTACCTTTGTAGTGTCAAATAAATTAGTTTTTACGCTTGGTCCTGGCTAGACAACTTAAATCAAGAAAAATGGACGAGAAAAGCTGATAAGAGAGTTCATAGAACCTTTCAGGTATTTTTAATCTTGCACTATTTTGAAAGGGTAGGTATAGCTAGCGAAATATTTTATGTAGGAATCCAAGACAGGGGAACCCAATATATGTTCCGTTTGGTGTCAGGGGGAAGATGGTAAAATCACCTCATTGTCGACCAATTCCAATAATAACCATATGGGACATGGTAGCCCTTCTTTGGACAATCTACATTATGAAAATGAAGGATTTCGAGGAAATGGAGCTTCAAGACCAGAAGAAATATCTTTCCAGAATGCTAATTGTCTTTGCCGACAAAATCACAATGATGAATACGGAAAGTTCGCATCGCCCATCAACAGTAAATGTAACGATTTTAACGGAAAAGGTGAAGATCATAAAATTTATGTTCAGGGCATCAGTTCGCACGTCACAAAAGATCAACAATTTAGTAGCACAGTCGAGGGTGAAATCTATACCGATCCTACAATGGTGCCATTCGAATCCTGCCTGAACAGGGATAAAATCCAATCGTCGCTACTTTCTTTTGGAAAACTGCGCTGAATCAGTACCTTGGCGGGCCATGCATGGACAAAAGAAAAACTGAAGACACCGTGTCATTTTGTGATCCCAAACATTCAATCTATTGAAGAAAGAGTTTCGGAAACCATGTCTCCAATGCCGAAGGTAAAGAGCAGGATGAACCTCGAGAAGGTTGCAATAATCTGAAATCTCCACTTATGATAGTCGAAATGATTGCAAATAAATCAGATCGTAAAC